TTGAATAGAAGGAAAAGTATAATGTAAATAAATGATTTTGTGTGTTTGAATAAAATAGTACTATATCTTAAAATAACCATTTCAGATAAAACCGCAAAATTTAGAGAGGTTTTTGAAAAATATTTTATTTATTTAAAAAAGATTGTATTTATTTACTTTGGAGAAAGAGAGTGAGAATTCAAGGGCAGGGGCAGAGGGAGAGAATCTCAAGTAGACTCCACACTGAGTGCAGAGCCTGACTCGAGGCTAGATCTCACCACCTTAGATCATGACCTGAGCTGAAAGCAAGAGTTGGACAGTTAACTGACTAAGCCACCCAGGTGCTCCTGAAAAATACTTTAAGATATTATTTCAAAACAAGAAATTTTGAGAGAGAAATATCTGAGAGAGAGAGAGCACAAGAGAGCTCAAGCAGGGGGAGGAGCAGAGGGAGAGGGAGAAGCAGGCTCTCTGCTGAGCGGGGAGTCCGACATGAACTCGATGGCAGGACCTTGGGATCATAACCTGAGCCAAAGGCAGATGCTTAGCCAACTGAGTCACCCAGGCGCTCTACATTTAAATTTTTAATCCATCTGAAATTTATTTTGGTGTGTGGTATGAAAGACACAGATCTAATTTAGTTTCTTTTTTCCCAGAGCAGTAGCCAGTTGTCTCAACATCATTTACTGAAAAATCTTTTTCCTCACTAATGCAAAATGCCACCTTTATCACGTGTAAAATTCTCAAGTGTGTTTGTATTCATTTCTGAACCTTCTATTCCGCTCCTTTGATTCATTTGGTCATGAATCAATGCAACCCCGTTTTAACTGTGGCTACCTTATTTTAAAAAAAACCTTATATTTCAAAAGCATTTTTTGCTCTGTCTCTTTAAAGAGCTAATTCTTTCCAGATTCCTGTACTAGTTATCTATTGCTGTGTAACAAATCACCCTAACACTTAGCAGCTTGGAAATGTATTATCTCATTGTTTCAGGGAGTCAGGAATGAGAACAACGTAGCTGGTGGTTGTGGCTCAGGACTTCTCCTGATGCTGAAGTCGGCAGTCTTCTCCAGACCTGACTGGAGCCAACTGGTTTGCTTCTGAGCCTGCTCATGTGGTTGTTGGCAGGTTGCATTTCCTTGCTACGTGCATCTTGCCATAGGGGCACTCACAGCATGGCAGGTGGGAGTGAACCCAGGGAGAAAGGGAGAGACAGAGACGACGGTCCAGGACAGAACACTGTGTTTTATGTATCCTTATTTCAAAAGTGACAAACCATTACTTCTGCCAAGCCCTCCTTGCTGGGGTTGTGGGGTGTGGAGGAGGAATTACACATGGCCATGAATGCCTGCCTACAAGGATCACGGGGACCCATCTTAGAGTCTGGCTGCCACCCTTCCAGTTTTGACTTTGTTCCTTTTCACTTTCTTGGGATATCTCGTCCATTTATGAGGCTGCTTCCACCCATACTGATGTTGGCAAATCATTCTTCTGATCTCTGACTTGCCCTCCTGAGTGCCAGGACGCTTCCTCCAACTGCCTGGGTACCCCCCACCTCTGAAATATCCATAGGCCTCTCTATGTGGCTTTTTCCACCCTCTTCTTGGAAGCCTCCCTGAGCCTCAAACCAACTTCTATTTTAAAATGTAGCATTCTGGGGGTACCTGGGTGGCTCAGTCGTTAACTCTCTGCCTCAGGTCACCACTGCAGGGTCCTGGGATGGAGCCCCACATAGGGCTCCCAGCAGGGAGCCGTTTCTCCCTCTCCCATTCCTCTTGCTTGTGTTGCCTCTCTCTCTGTCTCTCTCCTTCTCTCTGTCAAAGAAATAAATAAAATCTTTAAAAAAAATGTAACACTCTGCACTACATTTATTTGAGTTTTCCATTAGACTGTAAGCTAATGGGTGGGGACTATGCCTTCATTATTTTGGTGTTCATAGTACTTAACACAGTCCTGGCAGGAAGTAAGTGCTCATTCAAATATTTGGACCCAGGAGAGAGCCTGTGTGGTGGGGGGACACCAGGAACTCTACTGCCATTAGTCCTATATAGTGCCAGGGGCCCGATCCCCCGATCCAGAGGGAGGGCCTGTTTCACTGGCTTTGAGACTGAGGCCTACAGTCTCTTTTCGATGCATGTAGAAATAACTTGGTGGCTTTGTACCCAGCTCTGCCTCCCCAGCCAACGAAGACTGTAGACCCCACAGGATAGGGTCTGGAGCCTGCTTAGACCCATGGGTCTATTTGTGTTGTGTGAGTGTCTGGGGATAGCTGGACTGACAGGACAGACCGTGGGTACCCTGGTAGGTACCTATGGTAACCTACAAATGATTACTCTGGCAGTGAGTCCTCTTCTTCCCCCCAGGCTACTCCTGGCTGTGGGGGAGACCTTGCCTCACCACCACCTTTCATCATTGCAGGACTGTATGTTCCATGAATCCTTGAGTCTTTTGGAAAGAATTACAGGACCTGAAACCCAGCCTGCCACCTCCCCACAACCTCACACTCAGCTGCAGACTTTATAGCGCGGAAGGGCTCCTGACCTGCGCCCAGGAACCACAAGAGCACAACCAGGTAAGGCTGGGGCAGGGACAATGTGGCCCCCAGTCAGGCTGACTGTCCAGGTGGGGGTCCCTGACACTGGGCTGCCCACCTTCACTTTTTACAATTTTTTGTGTTGATGCCTCTTTCTTCCTGGGTCTGTGAGCAGCTGCCTTAATTTCTCCTCAGATTCTCATAACAAAGCTCTTGGGAGCTATTGGAGCCCTTAGGGCCCCCCAACTCATTGTCTCATCTTACCTAGGTGTAGATGGAGCCAGAGTGGGGAACAGACTGGCCCAAATCCTGTTTCTTCTGTGGACATCTCCCTAATCTCTTTCCGGATTTTCAATGGTTCTCATATTGCATGTTTCTCCCCTGATCTTTGTTTTCCCTTGTATTTTCTCTTTGGTGAAGACCATACACCTCCAAGATGGGACTAGTGTGAGGGTATGTCCACTTGGCTCCCCCACCTCCATTCTGGTCATCTGAACCACTCAGCATGGTGAGGGGAATCCAAGTGGACAGTGCTAAGTTCAGAGGCCACTCTAAGCTCCCGGGACCTGTGGTAGACTGTGGCCTAGCTGGCCTGGCTGACTACTCCAGAGAAAAGCCAAAGTGGGGATGAGGGCTGAGTGAGTGAAAGCCTGGGCCCTTGGAAGCTGTCCAGTCTCAGGCCCTGGGAAAGTGGGACCTGGAACGAGAAAGGGGAACCAAGGGACATAAGTGAGGCCTGATTAGTCCCTCTGAACTCTACCTGAAATAGGTCAGAGCTGCTTTTCCCTACAAGCAGGACAGCTTTCCTGCAAACCACGTCACCACAAGGTTAGCAAGGAGCAGGGATTGGTAAAAACCGTTGTAGACCACAGAGGGGACAGCCACAGACTTGCTGAGAAGGGACAAGCTCCTCAGAGGAGCCATAACTCTGGTCTTCCAGCAGGGGGCAGCCTATCCTGACAAAAAGCGATTCCCTGTTTTTCCTGCTGCCCTCCCAGCCAAGGAGACCAATTCCCCTGACACTTGACAGGGTTAATCTGAGCTTCCTTCTTGGGGGAGAGAAGTCCCCGGGGGGTCATAACAGTGTTTAGAATGTGGGGTCCTGTTTAGGAAAGGTAGAACAATCAGAAACCGAAACCCTTCATCCCCTCAAATTGAAAGGCTGTAAATATGACCTTGCATAAAGAAGAGACCGCGCGTGTGAGAGAGTGAGCAGAGTGACAGCAGCTAGGACAAAAAGGCGAGAGGTCTAGGACCTGCAAAGGGTAAATTTAGAAATATGGTGTCAGGAGAGACATAAGTTTGAAACCAAGGCTGTCTCTCTTAAAGCAGAGCATTTGGTTACCTTCCTTATGACATGAATATAGCTTGATATCTCATCTGAAATTTCTCCATAATTCCTGAGCAGCACCCATTCACTGATCATTATAGATACCGACCCCTAACTCGAGGGAACTGGGTTACATAAGGGTTGGTTGCTAAGGAACAAGGGAGATGCAGTAGGTACGACAAGGGTTGCTTAGTAACGAGGAGTCCCTCGGTGTTGGAGTGGCGAAAGCAGGTCTGAACTGATGGGGGTCTGTGGACAGTCAGCTCCTACCAGAGCCTCCTGAAAATGCATGTCTGCTGGCCCTTAGTCCAGAGCTGCCAGACCTGCATCTCTCCAGCTTCCCGGCACTACCCTGCATGAAAAGTACATCCCAAGTCCCTGAGTGCCTTCAATAACCGCTTGCTGCCTCCATTCCTTCCCACCTGCCTCCACAGAAACTGATCAGACTCCTAGATTGAGTACCCTGCAGGGCTCCTGGGCAAGCAAAGGGGAATCTCTCACTGGGGGAGGTAGGAGATTCCAGACTCACAGTGTGTGGAGCTGGGAAATTTGGGGTCTGGGTGAAAGAGGGCCCCCTCCACAAGCATCTCCGATGTGTTTCCAGTTCATCGGACAGTGTCTGCATATCTGAGTCTCCCATGCCAGGTCCTCACTCTGCCTCCACTCCTGTGCACACCTACAACGGCCTGCCCCTTTCCTTCCAGAGGGTGTCCGGTGAGGGGGTGGGGGCTGGGTCTGCTCCCTGCCTCAGTGTCCTCCCAGCCTCCACTCAGCGAGCTTCCCTTCAAGGCACAGCCTGGCCGAGGCAGCAAGTAGGCATTCAGAACCTAGGTCTGCTCTCTGACCTGTTGCAAGCACTCAGTGCTTGCTCAGGGAATGAATGGGAAACTTGTCCTGTCTATTGAATGTTGGGTCTCACCTTCCAACTTGCCTGTTTTATAAATAGAGAGTTTTCACAGACAGTCTTCCTGACTGAGGCTCACATGTTTGAAATTCACCCTGACCAGCTCTACTCTCTCTGGTCTCTGCTGCTGGCCTCGTCTGTCTGCAGGAGCATAGGGTAGATTACTGTCATTACTCTGGCATCCGTGATAGGTGAAGTCGATTCTTTCCTCCAGGACCTGGTTCAACAGGAAGCAGAAAAACGCACTGGCCGGCATGCTCCAAGCAGTGTCTGTGGTCCACAGGGGCCTGTTTCACTCCTGTGCTGGACTCTCTGTGCGGATGAGCAGCACTGGAATAAACCCAAAGGGTCTCCTGGCCAATAGGGTAGCTGTGGTCACAGGATCCACTGAAGGGTAAGTGCCCTGATCGCCCTATGGGTCTTGACCCCTCCCCAGACCTCTCGCATCCACAGAGACCTCAGGCTTCTAGGCCAACACACAGCCCTGTTGATTTCCAGGGCTGGGTTGAGGGACGGGGCTGAGGGTGTCTTGTTCTCTCCATCTCTGCTGCAGGATCGGCTTCGCCATCGCGAGGTGCCTGGCCCAGGACAAGGCCCACGTGGTCGTCAGCAGCCGGAAACAGCAGAACGTGGACCTGGCAGTGGCCACGCTGCAGGGGGAGGGGCTGAGTGTGACAGGCACCGTGTGCCATGTGGGGAAGGCCGAGGACAGGGAGTGGCTGGTAGCCAAGGTGAGGGGCCGCAGAGAATGTGCAAGGCCTTTCCCATGCTGTTCAGCCCTGGGTGGGGCTGGGGCTGGGACTGGGATGGGGCTGGGAGGCTCTAGAACACGTCCAGAAACAAGGACTGCTCAGGGTCTACCTGGGTGGAGGGCACTGCGCACACTGGCTTTCTGGAAAATGGCTTGTTCATGAGAGAACCCTCGCCTCCATCCAACACCCTGGAGAACCGTGGCTGAGGAGGAATCTAGAGGGATTCCCTATTCCCAAGTACATGGACAGATTCCTGGAGGAGAGAGGCCCTCCACTCCTGAGACCCTCGGGGACGCAGAGCCTGTCCTTGGGCCTATCCCACATTCCTGCCTTCATCAGAGTTTGGTTCTCACACCAGTTGTGTGACCCGGTCCTGGTGGAGACAGGATCTGATTAGCAAACTTTGCCTCAATGCCCTGTGCACTTGGCAGCAGCGCTGGGAGGGCGACGCCTCCTCGGGCCATCTCTACACTTATGGCCCTGTGTTTCACCCTTCCCCCCAGGTCCTGGAGCACCATGGGGGCCTTGACTTTTTGGTGTGCAATGCAGCCGTCAACATCCTGGTGGGAGGCACCCTGAAGGCCAGTGAGGAGGTGTGGGACAAGGTGAGAGGCTCTGAGGGGAGTTGGCTGAGGAGTCTAACTTGCTCCCCCATTGAGACTCGACTCACCTCCCTGTCAAGCGACTGTAAAAACCGGCACTGACCACTCCCCCTTGGAATGTGTCGTGATGTTACTTTCCAATCTGTGTGCCTTCAAAATGGGTTCCTACATTCTTTCTGCTTTCTTTTCTCTTCCTATCCCTTTTGCATTTATTCATTTAGCAAATATTTAATGAGGGTTTGCTATGTGCCAGGCACTGTTCTAGGCTCTGGGGATACGGCTCTGGGAGTAAGGTCTTAGCTCTTGATGAAAGTCAAGAATAGGAAGGGCTCTGCTCTTTGTTGACTGTAGATACATTTCACATCCTTTGGTGATTTTGCTCCTCTTTGGGGACTCGTACCTGCTGCTGAGATACTTACCCCTTCCAAGAGGAGGGTTCCTCACTGTCCCTCAGAGGAACCTGAAATACCTGTCAGGCCTGGACCCAGCCATAAGCTGTCCATGACATTCCAACCCACTGCATTTGGCCTAATGATCTTGCCACCTGGTCCATGGGGTCCAGAAGAGACCTTGTAAAATGTCTTGAGGTCTACCTTGGGCTTTGTTGTTCTATGATTTATGTTATGTTTTTATTTATTTTATGTATTTATTTTTTATATCTTATATCTATTTATTTATTGTTTATATTATATTATTAATTTTTAATTTATTTTATAGATCTATTCTATGATTTATGTTATGTTATGGTCTTATGTCATTCTATGTTTTCTATTCTATGTCACCTGTGTTGGGTTCCTGAGTCCCTCTGACCAGACCAGATGGACTGCAGGGAAACCATCTTCTTCCTGCTGTCATTAGCCTCCATCTCCACCCCAAGCACTGGCCAGAGCATTTCCTTCTGCCTTCCACAGATCTCTGTGCTGCATAGACAGTGTTCTCAGGCCAGCCCCTCTTGTGTATCTGCCTTTGCCAGATGCCGTTTCCTCCTTCCTCAGAGATGACCTGAGATCTGAGCTCCCCGCAGCCACTGCTAGCAGCCTCCTCAAGCTTCTCAGCTTCTTTAATTCCTCTGAAGGGTCATTTGTGATTAGGTAGCTGGGATTTCACTGCTGATAGTCCTAGCCCTCCAGAGTCATTTACCCTTTTAGTGTCTTAGTTCATGGGATCATGACTCTTTTTTTCTTGGAATCCATTTGAAATCTTCCCCCCTGAAGCTAAGCACACTCGGCCATAGCCCCACCTTCCTTTCCCCACTGCCACCCTATTCTCCAAGGTCTTACTGAGCCACTAGCTGTCTGCACCACGGGGTCATAGTTGTCCCTGATCACATCTGCCACCACCTCACATGTTTGAAATTTCCCTGATGCTCTGCTTTCTCTGAATGCAGTTTTCAGAAGGTGTCCTGGGAGTTAGTTCCTTCTCACTCACTTTATCACTGGGCCAGTTCGAGCACCTCTCCAGAACCCCTTTTTCTCCAGCTGTTTGGGAAATATCCCCTCTCCTCTTCCACTACTTCTCCAACCTTCTTCTGCCTGAGGACTCTCCAGCATCCAAGCTCCACAGGCTACAATCTCTACTCAGGACTTCGTGGCACCCGGAGCTACTCTATCTGCTTTTCTTTTTCTTTTCTTTTCTTTCTTTTTTTTTTTTTTTAAAGATTTTATTTGTTTACTTGAGAGAGAGACCACGAGAGGGGAGAAGATCAGAAGGAGAAGCAGACTCCTCATGGAGCTGGGAGCCCGATGAGGGACTGGATCCCTGGACTTCAGGATCATGACCTGAGCTGAAGGCAGTTGCTTAACCAACTGAGCCACCCAGGTGTCCTCTATCTGCTTTTCTAATAGGGCAGTCCTCTTAAGCAAGGGAGGGACTCACCTTTTCCTTGGTTCATGCTTGGTTGCTGAGTCTAGGAGGGGCCTTGTTGGAGCCCATCCCCCAGCTTAGAGCAGACATCAATGGGATGGTGGGGCTCTATTTTGAGCAAAGAATGACCAGGAAGTCCCTTAATCTAACCCTCAATGCCTTCTTATTGGGGACCTCATATCGGGCCCCCCTTTGGACATCTGAACCACTTCTTCCGGTCCTGGGGGTCATCCCCAGCACTGGCAATCTGTCATCATGTGGGCCTCAGCAGCTCTCCATCAAAGCCTTTCCCCTGCCCTCATCCCTCATCAAGGGGATGACCAGATATGCAGTCTCATTCCCTAGAGACAGAGGACACACTGACCTCACTCAAGATGGTGCCTCACAGGAGAGATCCTGATGTCACTTTAGTCCCAGCTGGTGCTCTGTCCTAGCCCCCAGCTCAGTCTCTGCCTCTTTCCCTGCCAGTTCTTCTCTTACTTTTCCTCTGTCCCCAGTCCCATCAGACTGAATTCCCAGACAGCGGGTCAGGAACCCTCATGTCTGGGGCCGGATCCAGGTTTTAGTCGCAGGCGGGACTGGCGTGGGAAGCTCACACCCAGAATGGCAATTCTCTGTTGTGTCTCCCACTTTGTGATGGCCGTAGGAAAGCTCAGAGCCATGTCTGCAGGAAACAGGCAGGCATGCAAGCCCTCAAAGCTGGCATTTTTTGTGAACAGATAATAATATAATACTCAGTCCTTGCTGTGAAGTGTGGGCACCAATCTTCCCCTTGCTTTTTCTTATCTTTCTACACTTATTTTTCCTGTTCTCCATTTCTTCACACATAATACCTATTCTACTTGTTTTATGCTGTGGCACCGTGAGAACACCTTAAATTCTACTGGGACAAGACAAGGACACCAACAAGTCAAAACACAGACAGACAAAGACAACACTTCCAGAAATCTTCTTTGCTCCCAGCACCTCCTTTCCCCTCCATCTGTTCTACTTTCAGTCTTTTTTCCAGGGGCCTCTGCTTAGTGGGTCTATCTGCAGACCAGCATGTTCTCCATTTTCTTGAAAAGGCCTGAACATTTCCCTCCTTCACCCCAGTCGGGAAGTTTGCTCACAGGCCTGTCACTTAGCCTGACTGCCTGTTAAACCGTTAGCCAGTGGGCTAACGGTTCTGATCAGAAGAGAAATGAATCTTAGATCTGCACACTTGTGGGTTTGCTGCACAAATGACAGGGCTCCGGGTGCCTTAGGACATCAGGCCCTGGGCTGAGGGCTCACGGCGTCTCTTTGTCTCCCCTCCTGCCTCCACTCTGATTTCAGATCCTGAACATGAATGTGAAGTCCCCAGCCCTGCTCCTGAGCCAGCTGCTGCCCCACATAGAGAACAGGGGGTAGGTTGCAGGGTGGGGGTGGGGTGGGGTCTGGTGGGGAGCCCGTGTGAGAATGGAGGCTGGAGAACACAGGGGTCCAGCTGGGAGGTATCCCTGGGGTCTCCCCATCTCCCTTCCTCTGTCCTGCTTCACCCTTTGTACAGCTACAGCTTCTAATTCTTGGCTGCAGGATAAGGGTGCTGGTTCTGGGGCTCCAGCATGCTCTCATTGGCCTCGACATCAGCACTTTTGGGAAAGGGCTGAGCTTTAGCTCCTTAGCCTCGTGGACAGATCCTTCTCACCCTCTACTCGGGCTGTCGTACCAAGGGACAGTGCCTTTTCACCAATTTACAATCTGTGACAGGGTTCCCCCATCCCAGATCCATCCTCCCTCCCTGCTGCTCAGCCTCCAGGGAGCCTACCTGTTCTTCCAGATCCTGCCTATTTGACTGCACTCCATACATGGCTTCAGGGGTTCATGTCAGGGACTCAGGCCTCCACCTCCCTCAGGCCGTAGCTCCTCCTCAGTCAGGCTCCTCAATGCAGACATACCCTTTAGGAACCTGCCCCAGGCTGTGTGGGGTAGAGGAAAACATTACTGCCTCTCATTTCTTGTCTCCTCCTGCTTCATCTGCTTCTTAGAGGCGGCCCATTGTCACCAAGCCCACTCTGCTCACTTTCCCAAGCAGCTGGCTTTCTGCTCATTGCTTCCCTCAAGATGCAGAGAGTGTCATGGTTCAGAGCATGGGCATTGGGTCAGAGAACTAGGGTTGGAGTTCTGGCTCCGCCACTTACGGTTCTGCTGTGAAACTCTGTGGGCCTCTGTGGCCCTTGAAACTCTGTGGGCTTGAAAGGGAGACAATAATGTAAACTGTACCGCCGCTGTGAAGACTGCATTATTCCATGACTATAGTAGTTAAAATGGTATTGTTCTCATTCTTATATCTTTTTAAAATAATAGTAGCACCTCAGTCCATGTTAAGTTACTGGTTTCCTGTCTCCTCTCATGTCTGTCTCCTCTCAGGATGAGGGCGGTCATCCTCGTCTCCTCCATTGCAGCCTATGTACCACAGGCAGTGAGTGCTTGCTTGTGTGCTCCTGGTAGTATTAGGTGAAGGGGTCCCCAGGACACCACAGGGACAATGCCTGGGACAGACCCCCCACCTCACTCGTGCTGCCCTAGGTTGAGCTGATGCCCATGTGGCTGCTGGGTCCCTCCGACCCAGCTTCTGTTCTCAGACCAGGATGGGGAGAGTGTGTCTGAGCTCTGCACTTGGGCCAGGGGTGGGAGCATCTGTAGGTGAGAAACTCAACTGATACTTTCCTCTGCTTCCTCATATCCTTTTTTGTTTTTTTCTTTTTAAGATTTATTTATTTGAGAGGGGGAAGGGCAGAAGGAGAGGGAAAGGTTCCCAAGCAGACTCCTGGCTGAGTGCCAAGCCATGGCTGATGCAGGCTCCATGGTGGAGCTCCATCTCACGACCCTGAGGCCTTGACCTGAGCAGAAATCAAGAGTTGAATGCTTAACTGACTGAGCCACCCAGGCGCCCTGCTTCCGCATATCCTAATGACTGCCTTGATTCCCTTCCCAGAAACTGGGTGTCTACAATATCAGTAAGACGGCCATGCTGGGCCTCACCAGGATGCTGTCATTGGAGCTGGCCCCCAAGGACATCCGGGTGAACTGCCTGGTGCCAGGAGTAATCGAGACCAGATTCAGCCAAGTGGTGAGGACCGGGGTGTGACCCCCATTTCCCAGCCTGGAAACAGTAGAAACCTCACCAGTGACTAAGGGATAAGCCTCAGATCAGTGTCTCTAACAGCTGAGGTCCTCATTGTCCTTTGAATTCAGCCATGACTCAGCCCGTCACCCCAAATCTGCCATAGGTGATCTGCTGCAAGATCATCTGGGGCCTTGTTTTAGCACCACTGACTTGTTCATGTCTTCTCTTTGCCCAGTTACACAAGGATGAGTTTTTCTGGAATGATTTCAAGAAAGAGCACAAGCTGCAGAGGCAAGTGGGGTGTGGAGCCTTGGTTACCAGGGTACAGCTAGGGAGGGGTGGCTGGTCTGTTTCACTAGTCGACCCCTCCCTGTGTGCTGGCCATTCCTTTAGCTGGAGTCTGGGTTCCACAGAGCCCTGCAGGGTACAAGCAAGAAGCCCCGCTGAGTCCACCCTGTCTCTCCTTGGAGCCCACTCCCACCAGAGCAGCAGAGTCTGAGATCCCTGACATGTGTTCTGTCCTTCTACACATGTTAGGGCAGCCCGAGGACTGTGCTGGGATTGTGTCCTTCCTGTGCTCTCCAGACGCCAGCTACATCACTGGTGAAAGCTTTGTGGTGACCGGTTTCTCCCCTCGGCTCTGATGGAGCTGAGGGGTCCCTGAGCTGTGGGTCTGGGTTTAGGAGACTGGGGACAGGTGGGCTGGGAAATCATGAAGGTCAAGAGATAAAGACTGAAGCTTAAGGCAGGACCCCCCAGTGTTCTCATCTGTTGATTCTGCTGTTGATACAGCTGCTGTGATCCAACCAACCTGTGGGTTCTTGATATGGGGCTATGGAGCCAAAGGAGTTTATGGGCCTGGCACATTGGAGGAAACATAAGGGACAGGAGCAGCAAATTGGGCCCTCGAAAGTTCCAGTCCTTCTCTCTGCCACTTGTGCTTTAAACATTTCTTTCCTAAAACAAACTCCAATTTCTCTTCAAGCCTGGAAACTCCTGGTGAGGGGAGGGTCAAAGGGAATGAGGCTGAGGACAGGCCTCTCCCGTCTCCTGCCTTCTGCTGCCCTGAGCCTGTCCTCAGACCCAGCCAGTGAGTGTTTACAGAAGGCTCTGCTCCTTTCTCTGAGTGGGCTGGTGGAGGCTAAGCAAGGTGGGAGAGGGTGAGAGGATTCCAGGATCCCCCCTGGGGTTCTGTGGGCTAGTGGTCTTTCATGTTTTCTGGGCCACATAGGCCTTTGAGTCCTTGAAGAAAAAAGCTTCACCAAATCTTGCATACCATTCCAGGCTGAGAACTGCTAATTGATACAAAAGAGAGAAGTCAGTGTGAAGTTCTCCTTAGGGGTGTCTCCTCTTGGTAAAGGCACTTTCTGCTGTCCTGAGGCATGTTCGAGGGCTCCATCCTTCTGTGTGTGCACATCCAAGGCTCAGCCGACTCAGGGAGGAACAGTGGCCCTAAGAATGCCTCTCTTCCTCTTGTGCCATCCAAAAGTCTCCCCTGAATTGGTCCCAAGGGAGGACCTGAGACAAGGCTTCCAACTGACCTCTGGCTTTCACCTCACTAAAGCTGCTCACCAGTGCGCCCTCTCTGAACCTCCTGGGCATGGGTCTTTGTCTTGAGACTAATTCAGTCACAAAAACATTTATTGTTCCCTACTGCAAACATTGGGCCAGGCACCCTGGAGAACAAAAACATAAAAACAGACCCAACTTCTCTTAAGTTCCTTCCTTGTGGTATGAGTACAGGGGTTTAAAACACTCATCAGTAAATAAGGCGGAAATGGGGCGCCTGGGTGGCTTAGTTAGCTGAGCGTCCAACTACTGAATTTGGCTCAGGTCATGGTCTCGGGGTTGTGAGATTGAGCCCCACGTCCAGCTCCGGACTCAGCACAGTCTGCTTGTCCCTCTCCCTCTGCTCTGCCCCTTGCTCATTTGTGCATACTCTCTCTCTCTCAAATAAATAAAATCCTTAAAGATAAATTAATAAATAAGGCAGAATGTATTCATTCTTTCAATAAATTGAGTGAGTACCACTCTATGCCAGGTATTGTTTTAAGAACTGAGAGGGCCACTGTGAACAAAACAAAGATTATTTCCCTGCAGAGTTTATACTCTCATGGGGGAGATGTACAATAAACAACAAACATATTAAAAAATTATACAGTGCGTTAATAGGTATATAGGTACAGAAAAAAAAAGACAAAGAGAAGGGTAAGAGTACAATTCTATACCCAATTCTAAGGCATGGTGGGCTCTTTTCCCACACCAAGTAGTTCTCTAACAGCTGAGTGTCTTACAATTCAGCTGAATTCGGACACATTCTGCCTGGAGATAGGGTGAGACCCCACAGGTTAAGGGCTCAGTTCTGCAAGACTAGCCCCGCTCCATTTGCTAAGTGCAAGTCTTAGTTGTCAGCTGTGGTCTGACGGTAGCTTGGAGATTCTAATCACCTCTTCCTTGGGTTCGGTGAGTTTGCTGGAGTGGCTCACAGAACTGGGAGAATGATTTTTCTTACTAGATTACCAGTTTAGGGCACCTGGGTGGCTCAGTCAGTTAAGTGCCTGCCTTTGGCTCAGGTCATGATCCTGGGGTCCTGGGATTCTGGGGTCCTGGGGAGTCTGCTACTCCCTCTCCCTCTGCCCTGCCCTCCCCTCCCCCATTTGTGATCTTGCTTTCTCTTAAATAAATAAAACAAAATAAAATAAAAAGACATCTTTATCACTCTTATCTTTATCACTCACATCTTTATCACTTAGGAGAGTCTACGGGCTTTAGAAACTCTGTAGCAGAAATGCAGACAGTGAGGTTTCCCGAAGGTTGAGACTTGTGGAGGCCACAGGTGCAGGGCTAGGAGGCCACCTGAAGAGGCCTGACAGAGGGGTCTGAGGTGAGGAATCAGAATATAATAGTAAACCAAGAGCATAAATCTCAGACTGAAGGCTTCAGTATTGAGGAATAGTTGGGAAAGGTGGGGGACATGGGCATCTGGGTGGGGTGGGGAGATGCAGACAGGCAGAACAGGACAGGATTCTATGGGTAAAAAGGATAGGCCCAGAAAGGGGAATCGCTGGAGGGTCCCACAGCTCTAGCATATAGCCACGGCAGTGGGCAGAGCCTTGTTATCATATCTCTGGCCCCATGACCTCCTCCTACACTCTGCGAGGGCAGACAGTGAGGGAAGTGGCCAGTCAAGCAGGCACAGTACCATTTAGGCCTGCAAGGAGGACACCCAGAGTGGACCCCCAAGGGGAGAGAGCAAGCTGAAAGCGGGGCAGGGGTTTCTGAGCTCACTTCCTCTCAGGATGAGAGCCCTGGGAGAGGGAGGACAGTATGGCACTGGGAAGGACCCAGCGCTGGAGGAAGGGAGCCGAGGCCCACAGAGAAGAGGACTTTGCTTGCAATGGAGCACCGCACAGAGGGTATTGGTGTGCCATTGTACATGCTGTGTGTTTGTGGGAGCGTGCACGTGTCCCTGATGGAGTGGGACTGACCCCAGAGGAGGAGGGCTTGGGACTGAGAGCAGGTGAATGGGCTGGGGTGTGGAGGGGCGGTTTGCACTAGTTTTATGGCCCTTGCCCCTTCCTCTGTTGAGAAATGTCCAGAAAAGCCCATCCTGGGCCCAGGGCGCACCCGCAATGGAAGGGGTGCTGGGGCAGAGACAAGAACAGGTCCATGTGCTCTGCTCCCCAGGCTATTCTTACCTTTCAGCCTCACAAGTGGACAAAGGCTTGGGACCAGGCGTGGTGAGAACTAGGGTCAGACTGTTTGAGTCCTCCCCACCCCCACCGCCCTCTAGTCCTCAGGCCAAGTTTCCAGCCGGGGGCTGCAGATCATGGATAGTGCAATACAAGTACTTCCTTGGGATAAATAACCTCAGTATTTACTTGGTTCCCAGCAGCCCTTGGGTGGTACTCAAATGCTTTCACCTGGGCTAAGAAGTGAAAAAAGAAAGGAACCACCACCACCAAGTTTGGCACATCAGAGGGTTTCTGCTGACTTGGGGTATTTGTGGGCTTGAAGGACTGGGGAGGAGGGAGAGCAGGAAATGGAGCCGGGTTAGTGGGGAAAAGCAGTGCGTGGGACCACTTAGCTTCTAGCTCCCCTAGCTGTGGGTGGTAGAGCCTCAGGATCATTGGCCTTGGGCTGGGGACTTGGAATGCCTGACTCTCCACCTGGGAGCATGTAGTCTCTGTTGATACATTTTAAGTTAAGCCCTTCATCTCTGATTCCTAAAGAAAGATCTGGAAAACAGTATCAGGGCAATTTGGAATTCTAGGGTATCTGGTGATGGCCGCAGGTAAGGTAACCCAGTCCAGTAATCGAGGTGCTGGCAATCCAGCCTGAGGTTTCCGTGTTAGGATGAGTCCTGAGGGTATCCAAACTTGTCTGGATGTTGTGGCCCCATGGGAACGAGAAGCGGCACAAGCTGCAGTCCCTGGCCCAGCTTCTTCTTATTTATTTTCCAGACCTCCCCGACGATGGGTCCCTCGTCCCATTCTCTGGCTGTGACTGCCCAGGCCTCACTGTGGGGCTGGACTCCCAGGTGCGAGGGCAGCCTGGGGGTCCTGGAGCTGTGCTGGAGAGAAAGGGGTCATCCTAGGGTGGCCTGAAGCAGTGTAGCGGACTAGAGGTTCTGTGTGGGCTGGGATCTGTGGGGGGTGAGGTGATGACAAATGTGGGTGAATGCCCAGGGCTATGCTTGCCACAGCAGACTTCACCTTGAAGGTCTCACACCAGATTGTACCAAGAAGATGAACTGTCTTTCCATCAAAAGCAAATGGTTCCCTTGGCAATTGAACAGCAGGGGATACATTAGCTGAATACCAGAATCAATGAAAGATTGGAAATAGGACGGAAATGGAGGAAAAGAGGGATCAGGAGATGACAAGCCACAAGTACCCTCGGGCTTCTGCACCTGTGGAACTGGGACAGTGTTGGCGGGGTTGAGGCTGAAGTTGCCGTGCAGGTCTGGGCGGTTGTGTGCCTTGGCTGGCTGGACTCCAGTTTAGAGTTTCTGTCCCTTTAGCCCTTGAAGGCCAAAAGATGAGGTCCTCTATGCAGGGAGGGTCCTCCTGAATTCCAGTGGGTGAAATGACTTCCTTTGCTGATCGTTTTTTTTTTTAATAACACGTTTTCTTTTTTTTAAATTTTTTTTAAAGATTTCACTTATTTATAAGAGAGAGCACAAACACAGACACAAAGAGGGGGAGCAGCAGGCAGAGGGAGAGGGAGAAGGTGGCTCCCCACTGAACAAGGAGCCCTATGTGTAGCTCAATCCCAGGACCCTGGGATCATGACCTGAGCCGCAGGCAGACACTTAACCGACTGAGCCACTCAGGCACCCACTTTTGCTGACCATTTTATTTATTTATTTATTTTTAAATTTAATTTAAAAAAATTTTTAAAAGATTTTATTTATTTATTTGACAGAGAGAGACCCAGCCAGAGAGGGAACACAAGCAGGGGGAGTAGAAGAGGGAGAAGCAGGCTGCCTGCTGAGCAGAGAGCCCGATGCGGGGCTCCGTCCCAGGACTCTGGAATCATGACCTGAGCTGAAGGCAGTTAACGACTGAGCCACCCAGATGCTCCTTGCTGATCATTTTAATGGGGACCTTTGATGTTTCCTAATTGCTGCCTGCTCCAGAGAGGGTAATTTGTGTAGATACGTGCAGCGTGTGTAGATATGTATAGGAAGGCGATGCTGAGCTTTGAATCCAAGTCTGTCCACCACTTTCCCTGACAAAGTG